CCTGGTGACCAAACAATCAAATCTGTGAGCCTTTGGGGGCCATTCTCATTCAGACCATCACATCCATTTACAATAGCATGTCCTTTCTATAAGTGAGACCTACATAAGACAATGTGAACATTTTGCTTCACACAACATAATTTAGAAATCACAAAGGAAATAGAAGGCTTATACTTAATGTCTCTACTCTTTCCACTGTTCTCTTCTCCTTCAAACATTCTGTGTGCGTGTGTGTGTGTGTGTGTGTGTGTGTGTGTGTGTGAGAGAGAGAGAGAGAGAGAGAGAGAGAGAGAGAGAGAGAGAGAGAGCGCACATGCATGTATGTTGTATGTTCAGGTGCCCTCAGAGGCCAGAAGAAGGCACTGGACCCCTGGAACTGGAGTCACAGGCAGCTGTGAGACAGCTGATATGGATGATGGGAACCAAGCTTAGGTCCCCTGTGACAGCAGTATGTGCTCTTAAGCACAGAGCCATCCTCCAGCCCATCTTTCAAACATTCTAAAAGCCCTCTTCAACCTTTTACAAATGCTCAGGTAAGTTCCTTTTGCATCCTTTTGTAGCAGAGCTGGTGGTAACAGAGTCTCACAGTTCATTTTGGAAGGCATATTCATGTCACATGTGTTTTTGAGTTCACAGTTTGTATCTTTCAGCACTTGAAGACATGGAGCTGATTCATTCTGGCTTCAATAGGAAATCCACTGACACTGGAATTATTTTTCTCAGCATAGATAATGTATCTTTCTCTTGTTGTTTTCCAGATTTTTAAGTTTGATTTAGTTGTCATAGGTTTGATTATCATATGTCTTCCTATAGACTTTGTGATTAGCCTGTTTGGTTTAGTTCTTCTTGGTGAGTAGGAAGGTTTATGATTTTTGGGTAAACTTAGGGATGTGTGTTAGTCAACTTTCCATTACTATAACAAATATGAGTTCATAGAGACAAAGGTTTGTTTTGGTTTAGACTGTTGGAGGTCTCAGTCCATGAGCAGTTCCTGTTGCTTTGGATGTGTGGTGGGACAGGGCATCAGGGTGTGAGTGTGTGGCAGGGGAAGCCTGTTTACCTCATGGCTGGGTAAAGAGAAGAGAGGAGAAGAGAGGAGAGGAACAGAGAGGAGGAGAGAGTGGAGGGGAGAGAACACAAGAAGAGATTGAGAACCTGTAGTTCCCATCCTCTCAGTGGGTTTCACTAAGGGCTCCACCATCTCCCCAGACCACCAAGCTGGAGACTAAGCCTTTGGGAATGTTCCAGGTCCACACAGTAGCAGAGCACGTGGAGTCGATATCTCCTGAGTGCTTTTGAGTCTCATTTTCTCTCCAGAATTTCAGTGACAGGAAAGTTAGATCTTGTGTCTCAGTCCTGCTGGTCACTGGGGCTTTTCCCCCAGTATTTTTTCCTATCACCAGATTGGCTATTTCTGTTCACATCTTCTAGTTTGATCTCTTCCCACCCTCTGTCACTCCACTCTGCTGTGAAGTCCACCTAGTAAAACATGGTATTTTTCAAGTCTCTAATTTACACGGGTTTTCTTTATAACTTCTATTTTTTTGCTGGTTGTAATGGCTTCTTGAAACTATCTTATAATTGTTGCCTTAAAATTCCTTTTGCACAATTCTAAAAAAGTTCAGTAAGTACTTAGCATTCAGGGTTAGATTTAAACTTAACTTGTGCTATCTTTCAGTTAACATGCATGTTGTCATATTGGACTTTGAGTATTTTTCCTCTCTATTTATTTAAGATTGTGTTTTCTATGAAGCTCTTGGTGGCCTGGCACTTGTTGTTAGAGCAGGACAGCCCCAGACTCATGGTAATCCTCTTGTCTCAGCTTCCTAACTGCTGGGATTATAGGTGCGAACCACCACACTTGGCAATCCTTTAAAATTGCAACCTGGACATTTATCTATGATGCTATGAGACTCCAGATCCTGTTTCCATCTTTGGCTTCACTAAGTCTCTTCAGTAGATTGTGGTGTTCTCAGCATCCATCTATAAGGTGGGAAGTTGGCTTTGGCTCCCAGTCCAGAGGTTTCATCCCGTGGTCCCTTGTCCCCATTACCTTCGGGTTGTAGTGAGGCAGATCCTTATGGTGGGACACAGAGGGAAAGAAACTGCTCATTTTATAGCAGCCTGGAAGCCATGAGAGAGGAAGGGGCCAGAGTCTCTGTATCCCTAACACACCGGATGGCTGATTTCCTCCTGGGCTCCACGTCCTGAAGGTTCTGCCACTCAGTAATGTGCTGGGCTAGGAACCAAGCCTCTGATATATGGATTGTTGGTAGCCACTCAAGATCAAAGCTTTACAGCAGAAAGTAATGTGTGTACAGGTTATCACAGATCGCAGGGATATTCACAAATTACATCTGCTTCATGTAGTGGCCTTTGACAGGCATTCCTTCTGTCCGTAAAGTTGATCTTCTGAGCTGAAATGGCTCTTCTGGATTCTCTGCTTCCCATTTTATTCTTTCTTTAGATTTTCTAAAATGTGACTTAAAGAGAAAAACTCTGCATAATAATAAAACACATATTTTATATTTATAACAGAAGTTAATATAACTCATTGCTCAACAGCTGAATAATGGAAAAATGTAAATAACTTCAAACAGACTAAGAAAAGCTTGGAGGTAGTTGCTTGATATATATATATATATATATATATATATATATATATATATATTTTTTGGTTTTTCGAGACAGGGTTTCTCTGTGTAGCTTTGCGCCTTTTTCTGGAACTCACTTGGTAGCCCAGGCTGGCCTCGAACTCACAGAGATCCACCTGGCTCTGCCTCCCGAGTGCTGGGATTAAAGGCGTGAGCCACCACCGCCCGGCTTGATATATTTTTTATTAAGGAAAGTCCAGGAGCATCCCTCTTGAAATATTAATACTGGTGTTGGGAGCCTCAGGGCCCCACAGGTGCACTTGACCCCTGAAGTGGACACGATAGAGTCCTGGGCGACCCTTCTGGTGACAGATTGATTATTAGTTTCACATTTAGTCCCACTGACCAAACACTGATTCCCAGGGATGCTGGCAGAGGAGAGGGTTTCTTCTTGAGTTCCCTGGAAGGAGTCCGCACCTTTTTTCTCCTACTCCTATGGAACTGAAGATGTTCCCTGTAGAACCCTGGCCAGTATGAACGGCAGTTTGTCTTCTGCAATCAGATGGAGTCAACCCTGTTCTCTTATATTTTTGGTTGTGAGCCTAGCCTTTAACGGCTGAGCCATCTCTCCAGCCCCCTGTTCTCATTCTAGGTGTCCTGTCCTCACAGAGCCCCACAGTGTGATTCAGGGAAGGCAATGTGGGGTGAGGTATTGAGATTCCCTTCCTTTCAAGGCAGGTTAGTAGCAGGTGGCCATCCTGAGTGACACAGGAGGGACAGGAACCCTGCAGAGGACTCAAGAGAAGGCTGGGCTGTGGGAAGGAGCTGGCAGAAGGCCAAGGCACCGCCTTCCTCATGTGATTTCAACCAATCAGAAAAAGATTCCTGGTGATGCTTTTGTTGCTAGGTGAAAAGCCTGTGTGAAGGGACCTGGGAGAGCTGGAAATCCCCTGTGTGACACAGACTTCCCTACACAGCCCCAGGACAAAGCTGAGGAGCTCCTCTCTTAGGAAAGGAGTGTGAGAGGCAGAGCCCTCAGCTGATTGTTGGAGGTCTGAGGTGGGGGTGAGGACACAGAGAGCATCCATCTCCAAGGTCCCTGTATGGCCATGTTTGTCTGCCAACCGTTCACATCTGAGTTTGATGATCCTCCTTTGTGCTTCCTGCACAGGCCGAGGAGATCTGTGTCCATCCAGAGCAGCACTGCTGGTGGGACCCCAGGGCTGTCCCTCTCTGGTTCTCTACACCAGGGTGGGCAGTGTGGACCCCAGCAATGCCGCAGTTCACCTGCGCTGCCAGAGCCCTCATGGGCATTCTTGCTGCCCAGTCTTTACCCCTTTTCCTTTTCCCTGGTCACCTGCTTTTAGGTCCTGTCCGCTGTTTAACTAGAAACAGATAAAGAGATAGAGATAGTGTCATTGAACAAGGGAGAGAGAGACTTATTTAGTCATTGGTGTTTGCCAGACACCTCTCTAGCTGATTGATAATTAGGCTCGGTAGTGTGTACTCAGACCTGAGGAGACATGCTGGCTGGCACAGTGTGACAAGCCTGTGGACATTCTTCCTGAAGCTGCTGCTTCACATCTTTGACTTTTTGTCCTTGAAACTCAAGGTGACTGTGTCTGGAATGCCAAACAGTTATGGAGTTTTCCTTCGCAGACCTATTTCATGGTTGTAAAGGATTTAAACAGCAGAAGAATTCATAAGAAAAAAGTTGGACCAATTAACTTCTTAAGTATTTTCATTGGAACATCATGAATGCAATAGATTCCTGTATGAGGAAGATGCCTAGTCTGCAGGGCTGGGTCACAACTGACCTGCTATTTCCAAACTCACACATGACAGTTTTCTTTATTAACCAAGTCACATTACTCTTTACTGTGTGCGTATGAAGATCTAGGTGTACAGTGCACAGAGCACGGTTTACATTTTACAAGAAGTCTGAGATTAGAAAGTTCAGTGACTTGTTGACTCCCCAAGAACTCTGCTTTCTCACTTGAGGTTCTTCAGACTGTCAGTCATAACAAAGGATAATACATGGTTTCTGTTTACTTCCCCTGCCAAACTCCTCAAATATGAGAACAGTAGTTTTTAAATAACTATCCCAAAGTTGTCTACACTTGACTCACTTTTCTCTTTTGGTTCTTTAAACACTAAACACAGTGAGTCTGCAGTTTGGACAGGTTTACCCTGTAACTGAGAGGAGCCGTCACCTCAAATGTTCACCCAGTGGGGTTCCATGAAGATATAGATCATGCACAGCATGGAGCGCCTTTGGAAACAATGTCTGCCTAGAGACAGATGACACGCTTCAGCTCCAGTGCTGATTGGCTCCTCTCCTGGGACCAACCCCAGTACTCATAGAGGCATCTACAGATTTTTGCTCTTTGAAGGGGCACAGCAGGTGTGAGTCCTAGTGACTGCCTTTATTTTATCCTTCAAGATGGCTCTACAGGTCCCCAACCTCCTCCTTGCAGCAGCTGTGGTGCTGATGGTGATGAGCAGCCTAGGGACCGAGGGCAGAGACTCCCCAAGTAAGTTGGGGGTGGGGTGAGGGGGCTCTCTGGAGCCAGCACTCTGGGGGACCGGTTCTGAGGGACACTGAAATGTGGGGGGAGGGGATGGTAAGATCCCAAATTTAGAAGAGTCTTTTATCATAGATTTCCTTTCTCTGAAGAGAGGGCGAGGCTACATTCTCATTTCTAGGTTCTAGTATTGAAGTTGGGATTGTGCCTACTGCACAGACTGAGCCTGGAGTATTAAAGTAGGAGACAGAGTTTAAACCTAATACCAAGGGCAGGACAATGGGAGCGCGGGGTTATGTTTGAGGAAAATAACAGGGTTTGCCGTATTAACCACAGTCGTGCCCCACCCCCAGCTCCTTCTCTGGACTAAATGCTAGATCCTGAGATGGGGAAACACCGGGCAGTGATGGGCTTGTAGTCCTGGTATTTGAAAAAAATTCTTGATGTGGAGTGGAAGGTTAAGGGAGCCAAACTTTGTTTCATCTAACCCCGAGAGAAGTCAGCATACAGGAGTCTAAAGTTCTTCATTAAATGGAAGCTTGAGGACAAGACTTGGACACTTGGGTTGGTAAATCTAATTTCCAAGAAAAAAATTTTTGCATAAAAGGGAAATATGTGATACATACCAGGAGACCCTCAATTCAGAGACAGGGGAGTACTTTATAGGAATTCTCAGCTCCTTTCCCCCCAATCCTCCCTAACGCCCGTGCACGACCGTGACGTCCCTTTTGCAGTTATTCTTAAGATGCTCTGCTGAGTGACCCCCCAGGCAGACAGTCCCCCGAGGTCACCTGGATTCTCCTTTGTCTGTTTTGCTCTCTCTAAGAATAAATGCCCCTTGGGTCAGGGAGGGCAGGGCCGTTTGCTGTCAGGAGAAAATCCCACGTGGTTGGATTAGGGTAGTAGAAACAGCCAAATTTTCTATTTTTCTTTCCACCATTGTTTTATTAGTTCGTTGAGAATTTCGTACAATGTATTTTTATCATATTCACCCCCCATTCCAACTCCACCCAGACCCACCACCCTTTTTACCCACCCAACTTTGAACGTTCTCTTTAAAATTCTTTTTTTAAAAAAATGCACCCAGTACAATTTGTGCTTCCGGGGATATTCTTATCAGGACGAGTTCGGTCGCTCCCTTGAACTCTTATTTGTGAAGACGGAAACGTTTGTGAGGTGCCCCGGAGCCCCATGGAGGTGGGGTCCACTCAGTCCCGACCCCTCTAAGTCAGGCGGGGCGCCCCCCACCCCCGACTGCCCGTCCCGAGGCTCTGAGGTCCCGGGACCGCGTCGTCCCGGCCTGAAGCTCCGGCGCGGGCTCAGGCCGGGCTCCGGGGTCTCCGCTGCCCGGCGCCGCCCCAGGCTGACCGCGTCCGTCCGTCTGTCCGCAGGGGATTTCGTGTATCAGTTCAAGGGCCTGTGCTACTACACCAACGGGACGCAGCGCATGCGGAGTGTGACCAGATACATCTACAACCGGGAGGAGTTCGTGCGCTACGACAGCGACGTGGGCGAGCACATCGCGGTGACCGAGCTGGGGCGGCCGGACGCCGAGTACTGGAACAGCCAGAAGGAGATCCTGGAGCGGACGCGGGCCGAGATAGAGACGGTGTGCAGACACAACTACGAGAAGACGGAGGTCCCCACCTCCCTGCGGCGGCTCGGTGAGCGCGGGGCGGGTCCCCGGGAGGCGGCAGCCGTGGTGGGCGCGGCCGGAGGGGACACCGCAGCCGGGGTTCCCAGCGTGAGGAGCTGCCACAGCCTCCTGTCTGTCTGCCCTGCACCACACAGCGCCTCCCTGGAGTCTCCCTCCTTCCTCACCTTTGCCCTTTGCCCTTTGCCCTGTGCCCTGTGCGGCCCACGCTCCACTCTGACTCTGGCTCTGTTGCGAGCCCCGCAGCCAGGACACCCTTCAGCCCCAACTCAGGAAGCTAAACAGGGGAGAAGCCATGATCCTGTAACGATGAATTTTAACTTTTAAAGTAGTTATTCAGGGCCCCTCGGTTTCCTTGATTTCCGTTTGTCTCTTTGAGGCCGAGGTGTTCTTGTGCTGGCTGTTTGCTTCCTGGCACTGACTCGAGGCCATTACTGGTTCTTCGTGCTCTGAAGTAGACTGTGTTGGATCACATTTAAAAGTTTGTGATTCAAAATCTGAGGGGAAGCCAGGCGGCAGTGGTGCACGCCTTTAATCCCAGCACTCGGGAGGCAGAGGCAGGCGGATCTCTGTGAGTTCGAGGCCAGCCTGGTCTACAAAGCGAGTTCCAGGAAAGGCGCAAAGCTAAGCAGAGAAGCCCTGTCTCGGGGGAAAAAAATCTGAGGGGAAAATACTAAAAAACAGAAAAGCCATTGTCACTGGAGCCCTGGAGCTGGAGATACAGACTGTTGAGAGAATGGTGCTGGAAACTTAACCCAGTGTCTTCTGCAAGAGCAGCAAGTGGCCCTACCCGCCAGCTCTCTTCAGCCTCTAGGCTTCCTTTCCCGAGGAGAGGTTGACTGTACTTTACCTACCCCATCCTAGAACCAGCAGTTTCTTTAAGGGATCCTAGCTCCATTTCATGGGGACCAGCCGCATCCTGGATGAGTCTATTGCTACGTAGGCAATGTTACTTTAGCCCGGTAGGCATCGCCTTTCTTGGCTCCTCCCACACTTCCTGACGCAAAGAGAGCCTCTTAGACATGAGGCCAATTAAAGCGTCGTGTGAGCCATCCTTTTCAGGTTTAATATCGTATATTACAACTATATGAATGGTTAACTCAAGGTTAATTATGTTTTCCCCTCTTGCTTTCCGGGCAACCTTGTTATCCAGCTGAAACAGTTTGTTGTTTGGTCTTGTTGACAGTTAATTCTTCACAGCAAGGGAATGCAGTGATGGCAACCAGTAATTAACTCACTTGACTGTGTGGGAAAATGCAGGAGGAGAAAAAGAGGGAACATAGCGTGTCCTCAATGCATGAAACACATTAAGTATCTATAAAGTTTTCACCCTGAATGGACAAAGGGAATGCAGATAATTGGCTTCTGAGGTAGTGGACACAATGCATAAAGTCAGTCCAGAAAAAGATGTCTGTCCAACTGTGCATGACAGTCTGAGGGGATGAAGAAAGTAATGGTGTGCTGGAGTTATTTTTACATTTCTTCAAAAATTGTAATTTGAAATCATAGTTTTGTGTGTGTGTGTGTGTGTGTGTGTGTGTGTTAAATACATTTCATGTTATATAGGAGCAAGGTCGCTCACTCTTATTTTTCTAGTGATCATTAAATTTATATTTGTGGAGTGGACTGTCATTCAATATTAGAACCAGGCATTCCAATCCTGCCTCTTCTCCGTGGGAAGTTTCCATGTGGCCCCATCTCACTCACCGTCTTATCTGTTCCCTAGAGCAGCCCAAGGTGATCGTCTCCCTGTCCAGGACGGAGGTCCTCAACCACCACAACATGCTGGTCTGCTCGGTGACAGATTTCTACCCAGCCCAGATCAAAGTGCGCTGGTTCCGGAACGGCCAGGAGGAGACGGTGGGGGTCGTGTCCACACAGCTTATTCAGAACGGGGACTGGACCTTCCAGGTCCTGGTCATGCTGGAGATGACCCCTCAGCGGGGAGACGTCTACACCTGCCACGTGGAGCATCCCAGCCTGCAGAGGCCCGTCACTGTGGAGTGGAGTAAGGGGAAATTTTTTTCTCTCGCTGGGGCCCCACCCCACAAGACATAGGATTTTAGCTGTTATTATCCCACCCCTCCAAGGCCACCCACCCTGTCTCTTGTCCTGTGCAGTCTGATTCTACTTACTGAGCTGAGAACTACAGGAAACTAGATCTCTTGCCTCATAGTAAGGACATCAGGAGAACCCTGACTTAATTGTCTTTCCCGACAGGAGTTCTGGATGATCACTACATACACTGGGACTCATCCCTAATATCCAGAGGAATTGACAGTGATAGCTGGTGACTGGGTATTTTGGCCCAAGATTATAGATGTGTCTGGGTGCAAACATCCACTTAGCCCCTCTCACTCATCAATGCACTGGCTACCCCTCCCCATCCTCTCCCCACAGCTGAGTTCCAGATCTCTCATCTGACCTTTCCTTGCCCTGGGTAAAGTCAGAACAGAGAACTGGGTCCTCCCAGCTCCTTCACCTTGTATGACTCAGGCTGGACTTCAGGCTCTCAGTCAGGGCTGTTGTGATGTGCGGGGGACAAAGCTGACACTCAGTCTCTGCTCCCCAGGGGCGCAGTCTGAGTCTGCCCAGAGCAAGATGCTGAGCGGCATCGGGGGCTTCGTGCTGGGGCTGATCTTCCTGGGGCTGGGCCTTTTCGTCCGTCACAGGAGTCAGAAAGGTGAGGAGCTCTTGGGAAAGTGGGGGTGGTGGGCTGTGCTGAGGGAAGGAGCTGGGTTGGGGGTGGGAGGGGGGACATGGGAGACCCTGCGGGGGGAGGGGGGAGGACACTGGAATCTGACTTTGTTGGTTGTGTGCCATAGAGCCATGGTGGAGTGCATTCTGGGACTTCCATCACTGTCCACTCTCACTGTCTCCTTTCCAGAAATTTCCACAGAGAGCATGGACTTAACAGTTTCATCTATTTAGGGGTGATCAGGGTCTTAGTGGACACACATGATGAGAACAACTTTCGCTAAGCCACATGTCCTGTTGCCCCTTGGGCTACATGAGAGAGCCCTGTTTTTATAACAAGACCTTTTCTTGTGTGACTTCCTTTTGTAGGACCTCGAGGGCCTCCTCCAGCAGGTAATAATATTTCAACCCTTATCTTGGGGAGGGAGTTCAGGAACATGGGTGTGAAGAAAGATCGTGAAGTGGTGTACCTGACAGAGACCTGGTTCACAGTCTGTCTCTGCTGTGGGGTTGAGAGTGTCACACCTTGTGTCTCAGCTGGTATCTGTAGGAAGCTCTAGAGGTTGTCCCCAAGCAGGAATTTGCTGCCATCACTTGAGTGGCGTCTTGAGTGGAACCTGAGTCATGCCTTCAGTTTAGACACTAAGATGTTGCCTACTCTATGCCCCACACTGGAGACCCTGACCATGGGTGTTGATGGTTGGGGGAAGAGGCTGACAGTCCTGCAGAGGAGACGGATCCCTCTGACTTACCAAAAAGATCTGATCCTTCATATTCCCTGGTGGTGTTGGCTTCTCTTCCACACACACCCCACACGTTTGTGTCCTGTGAAGCTCTGCCCCCTTCAGCTGCCCTTCCCCTCTGCACAGGTGATGGAGAAGGTGGTGGCCTAGACACCAGCTTTCTTTGTCTAACTCTTGGGACCCAGGAGGAGAGTCAGGCATCTCCAGGGGACCTTGTGTGACCATCCCTCCCTTCTCTCTCCAACAGGGCTCCTACAGTGATTCACTAGAGTGTTCTAACTGAGGTGCCTATTGCATTATAAGGCCTGCCTCTCCCTGCCCCCAGTTCCCACCTGTGCCAACCTGTCCATCTCTGGTTCAGAGTCCAGCATGGTGCCAGTGTACTCAACAGCTCAGCTCTTGTGATCCCCAACTCCCCAAGGCTCTGTCTTTGGCTCCTGGACTGATTCCAGAGACCTTCCATGTACTGCAGCATCATATACTCAGACACTCAGGCCTTCTGTTTCCACTGTCCCACCCAGGCTGCTGAAAAGACACACTGAAAACATCTGCCTCCTTTTCATAAATAAACATATTCTGAATTATGTGTATCCTGAATCTTTCTGAGCAGGGTTGGGTGGGAGTGGTGTGGGACAAGGTGACCAGTTGGAGTATGCTGCACTTAAGGTTACAGTCCACAATGTCTGGACAGCTCTTTGGGCTTGGTGCAAAATGAAGGACTCTCTTTCCAGCAGGGCTCCCTACCTATCTGGATAGTGGTCAGAGGCTTTTACTTATCTGGAAGCTGTCCCTAAGCGTGGATGCCTATTTCAAGCATGATCTTTGACACAGATCTCTGCAAATGCTCTCCCTCTGCTGCCCATATGTTCCCAGCTGTACGGTAGGACCTGGCTGCCAAATGCAAATTAGGTGATGCCCCAGCTGCTGTTCCCATCCTATATATTTCCCCTCATTCTGGAGTAAAGCTGAGCTATATAACACTGAAGCAGTCTCCCGGAAAGCTGTTTCTGCCATACTCACAGGCTGTACAAAGCATTGTTTGCTGCTTCTGTCCCTTTTACCTGGTGGCCAATTGACAGAGGGGAAGAAGGGAACCCACAGTGACCCAGCTAAACTGTGGTTGGAAGCAGAGGTTTGTACTATGAAGGTGTTTGCAAGCATCCTGGGTTCCATGTAAGGGTGGGCCGAGGAGACAGGCACCTGCTGTCACATCTTCATGGCTTGTACTTTTGCTGTTCAGTGTCCTGTTCTGACACCACCCCAGCCTCTTTCAGGTTGGTGAGGACAGTACAACCAAACATGCTAGAATTGTTGGGGGACAGATGCTGTGACCTCTCATCACTGGTGTTTCAAATGTGTCCTGTGAAGTTGCTACAGGCCACAGGAATATATTATAAGAACTCAGCTGATTATGGCAAAGCTACTACCTGAAGGGATCAAGGAATTCCTTCAGAGGAAGCCAAATTCCAAGGAGCATTTGGTGTTATTTGGCTTGTTATATATCAGCTGTCTTCTGTTATGAAAATCATGTGTGCCTTCATAGTTTTCCCAATTGATTTTTTTCCCTAAGAATTGCTAACAGTGTGGAGTGATCACTATTTGTACATATATGTTTGAGATATTTGGAGAACAACCTCAGGAAAGACTTCCTTCCCTCAGGCCCATCCATTTCTTCTTTTAGCGCTAGAATCAGATATCTCCCCAGCCACGTTCAAGGACTAACAGAAATAACAGTCCAAACCACTACATAATGTCTCCCAAATTAAGGTAAATTCCACATGGAGACACCACCTAGGTCAGGTGGACCTTAAGCAATAGCTTTACACAATTCAGCTCAGATCCTCCTTTTCTTACAGCCTTACTAACTTTATAGACCTCTAACTCCTTACCTAACCACTTCTAGGAATATTTAGATAACCTTCTGCACTAATAGCAGTATGCAGCCAGAACCCCAGTTTCTAGCCTCCCTGTAATCATCGTCATTAGCTGCATCCTCCCAGAACCATTCTCCTGGATGATTGTAACTTATCTGAGAACCTTCCCAGACTTCCTAACAACAGACCATCTGTCAGAGAAGGCAAAGATTTACACTGGCAAACAATTGCCCAGGCCTGGCGGATGTGCTCATTATGCTTAGCTTTCTCCTTTTTCAAATCTTACCTCTAGTTCCAGATCTCCCTTTAACTATCACCAGAGGCATCTAGCTGTACACAGGTTGCCTAGTGACTGAGCACACTTTCCCCCACCCTGCAGAAAAACAGCAGATAGCTTGGACAGATAGGAGCCACAGGAAAAAAGAAGACAGTTTTACTTTCTCCCATTGACCTAGCAACTTACAGATTCTTACATTCTCTACCAATCACGTTTAAGATTATATATAGTTGAGCACATAAAATTCCTCTTCTTAGATATTAAGTCTTTAGTTAATTTAGCCTTTAGTTAATTCATTTCCCCGTTAGTCACTTCCCTTTTGGGTTGCAAAGGATAATTAACAATTACTGCCTCTCTATGTGATTCTTATTACCCCTCTGTTTGACTCTGGAAGCCTGGCTTTGCACTGCCATGGAATTACTGCTTGTAAGTGTATATATACCGGGACTCCCAGAGCATGGGAAGACGGAGAAGAAGATTTGGATTTCCAGAGTCTCAGCATGGAGATCTTTAGTTACATCAGCCTTGTGGAGCACCTGGATCTCCAGATCCCCTCACAGCAGGGGATAAGAGGTGGTTTGGTTTGGGTAAGCTTGTGATGGTATATGTTGGTGGTCAATTGGAGACCCATCTCTGGGCACATTTGTGAAAGGCTTTCTAAATTAGATTCTAGATTAGATCTAGATTAGAAAACCTACCTTAAATAGGCTGAGGTACCCAACAAAGAAAAAACAAATCATTCATCTCAGTCTGCTTCCTGACAGTGTGACCTCCCATCCTGCCATCATGCCTTCCCCACCATAACCAACTGAACCTCCTTGAACTGCAAGCAAAAACAAAGCCCCAACTCTTGTTGCTCCCTGCCAGGTGTTTTGGCAGGGCACTGAGAAAAGTAACTAAGGTAAAACCCAACATATGTATGATAGCCATCTGCGATTCTTGGTTCTCTCACTGGAGGAGCCAGCTCACATGTGGACCACATTACACAGACACATGGTGTCATCGCTGAGCTGAAATTCTTAGGGGTTGGATCCCTTATCCCCTGTGAACATTATGATCTCTCGATCTTAGTGTCATTCTCTGCCTGGTTACCAGGAAAGTCACCACACACAGTGACATCTTTGAAGTAGTGTCAGCCCTGAGAGCTGCAGCACACCTTCAAGTTTTCCTTTCACTAACATAAGTGACCCTATCGCTGAGATTGTGGAAGACCACACCTCTGAGGAGCACACCCTCACTCACACACTATGTCTAAAAGATGCTAGCAAGATTCACATGCTCTCAACAGGGTCAGAATGGAGAGTAGCACTTCTTATCTTCTGTGATAGAGGCTGCAATGCAGGTGTACAGACTGCACTTGGGGCTCTGCTCTCCAAGGTCATAGCCTAAGGTTTTTAATGCTGCCTTGGAGGACCAGCCTTCAGCAGCACCAAGGTATGCAAAAAAAAAAATCCACAAATTTGGAGAGGGCTAGACTTTTCTATCTGAGGGGTAGTAAGGAAACACACTTTCTGATGGTAACTTTTTCCTTTACTTCATCTTGAAAAAATCCTCTCTGAAAATCTGTCTCCACACAGCTACATACCTCTTCTACACAGCTATACATCTCATCTACTACACAACTCTTTCTTCTATCTCCTCTTCAACAGCTACATCTCTTCTCTCCACACATCTCTCTTTTCTATCTCTCTTCTACATCTCTCTTTTCAGAACAAACTCTGGACAATATATGAATTACATTTTCAGGGTCACATAGCATTTTTTGAGTAAACCATAAAAAACAGAGCCATTCTCATAACACATGATAAGTCGCACACTTTCTATCAGACTAAGGATGTTGTGCTGACTGGGTATGGTGAGTAAAGCAAGCACGCAGCTCTGAGTGGTCAGTGTTTCCTGACAGAGAGTGACACTGAAATTCAGGACCTAAACAATAAACACTTAGTTGGCTGAACCTTGAACCTTGTATCATAAAAGTGAGGTTAGGAGTATGTGCGGAGAGTCAATTGCTGAGAGGATTTGTATAGTGGTTTGTGTCTTTAATGTTGTCTGCCCAGGCTTTTTCAAGCAAAAACTGACACTAAAGTTGTTTCATGCCTGAATTTGGTACAGCAATAGACACCTGGGAACTTGTCCTTGTGCAATTCATCTCCAGTGCCAACTAGTCTATTTTGGATTTGCTCTGAGGTCTAAAATTAGCTAAATGTATAAAAAGTTCTCTTTGTAGCTAAGAATACTGCTACTTTCCTATGTCAGTTTGAGTTATGAAAAATATCCTAGTATTAATTCTATTCATCAAAATTATACAACTTAAGAAGAGATCATCTTCCTGGCCATCCACAGATATATGTGTGCCCAGTAGATGGAATATATACACGAAATAAACACACAGGCAGTGGGAAAATGCCCATAGCTGTTTTTGGGAAAGAAATGTAGTGGGACATGAGAAAAATTATAGACAGAACCAACAGTGTTCAGAGTCTGTGGCTTTTGGCTATTTGGCGGTGCTCTTACCCTGCGAGAAAACATCACAAAACACAACAGAATCCACTAACGAGAGTTTTATTAAGATCATGTAAAGAGACAGAGGTGCACAGGCCTGTGGAAAGAACATGTGAGTAAAGATGGAGCCGGGAATATGGCACCGGCTTATAAAGGCTGGGCAGCGCCTGCGCACACAGGCCCATGTGGCTGCTCCACGCATGCACGTAGATCACATGGTTGCGCTGTGCACTTTATGCAACCACACAAAGCCACGGGGTCCTGGTCATGTGAGACGTTTTGACCCAGAAATGGCTAGGCAGAAGTGCCTAGGTCGCTGGGCATGTGCAACCATGCCCAACCATGGGGGCATGTTGTGAATCCATATCATCCTGGACTCTTGTTTTTTTTTAAAAAAAAAGAAAAAAGAAAAAAATGGTGGATGAGTGGGTATGGGGCGTCATTTCTCTCAAAGACTGCTTCCAGCTGAATGGTGGGCATCGGTTGACTCTTGGGAAATGGGGAGGGTAGCTTGTGAAGTCCTGGGATGATGGTGGGGGGTCCTGGAATGAAGTTCTGCTGTCCCCTTATTCTGCAGCTGTCCATTCTTCATGGTGTGGCTGGGAACCTTTTGTCTGACAAGATACTGGTGACATAGAAAAAGCTTAGAGAGAAAAGAATCATTATTATTTTATTTTTTGGAGTTGACATTTATCTGAGGTAGATCTGGCCTGTCCAGATGGAGACATGTTAAAAAGGTGACTGTGAGAAAATTAATGATTATTATGATGTTTTAGTACTCTGCTTAATTTTTACCTGAGACAAGCTTTATTAGAGGTAGTTTATTTAAGGCACCTGTTTCCTTTATTAGTTTAGCATTCAGGAAACGCAGGTGATCAGTTGCTGAGTATTGAACAATGATAGATTATTGTATTACATTATTCCTTACCGC